GTGTTCCAGTCTTCAGATTCTATCCAGGTAGGAATGTTTGGTTCCTCCCCTCAAGGTGGGGGAGCTCACAATGAGATGATGTGATTCTCTGAGTCATTCTTTGAGACCCTTCATCAACATGTGTCACTTGTTCCTCCTCCGCTTCTTCTGGGCATCTCCCACAGTGGTGCTGGATGTTGTGGTGGTTGTGGAACCAGCGCTTCTTGCTGTACCCTTTTTAGTGCCAGTCACAAATTCAATCTTTGTACTGTCTTTCTTGGCCTTCTTCAATTTGTCCATCTCAGTCTTCTGGGCTTTAGCTAGTGCCTCACAATATGAATCCTCTGACCTGCTATGAGGATCAAACTTGTCCTTTGGGCAATTTGTACCAATTTCATCAATGGAACAAAACTGGATCAGCTTTTCATAGACGCTGGGGTTGTGAAATTCCTTTTTGTTCTGGATGATGTAGTTCTATCCATGCCCTCTTTCATTTTCCTCTCGTACAGCTTTTTAATTTTATCCTGCAATTAGCTAGAACATCTGCCAAGAGGCTCAGGAGGGATTTTGATCTTATCTGAAGACATGTTCCACACTCTCTGAAAAAGAAGCAACTAGTTCCTGAGGATCTCTTTCCTCCATTTCTTGGAATTCCTTTGGGTCACCAGCCTCAGGTTTTTCAATCTGTAAATCACCATCTTCTGGCATCCAGGTGGGTGAATTCCCCTTCTCCATGCCCAGCTGACGCCAGGCCTCCCTTCTCCCCATGGGCTTTCCCCCATCACTCCCCTCTGTGCCGGCCTCTCCATCCCACTGCGGGTCCGAGTCCTCACCATGAGCCTCAGCAAGGAGAGAGCGCTGTGCTTCACTGCCACCATCCCCCAGGGGTGCCCCACTCTGGGCACCAGAAATGTTCCAGCTTGAGAGCGAACCAGCAGGAGATTCCAAGTCACAACTACAATTTAATAGGAAAATAAAGGCAGTAGTACAGAAGCAATGGCTTAGACTGACAGAGTCAGAGTACGACCTGACAGCCTGTTGGTCAGGGTGGTGGGAGCAGTCTGATTAAATGGGGGCTGTTGGAGTGATGGAAGTGGTTCTGTCAAAGCAGTGATGCTGTAGAAAGATCTGGTCCTTCTCTGGAGGTCCCGTGGTGGTTATGGAGCTCCTGTCCCCTGGGAATGCAGTGGTAGTGCTCCTGTGGTGTTCCAGTCTTCAGATTCTATCCAGGTAGGAATGTTTGGTTCCTCCCCCTGGGTGGAGCATCTCACAGTGGAATGATGTGATTCTGTGAGTGGAACCCTGATGACCCATTGGTGGAGATGGCTCCCCACAGAGCGGCTGGCGCTTCCCTGGAGGGAGTTATCGGGGAGAAGATAAAGAACCCTGCCCCACCTATCTTTTGGTTACATCTTACATTGTAACCCAGGACAGGCAGGGAATTCTATGAATCAGCTTTTCCTGCTTCCCTGGGGTTTCCTGCCTCTTTGAGTTGAATCTCTCTTAAATAAGGCTGGAAAAGTTGGGGAGGGCCATGTCAGGTGTCCAGGTTGGATGTTAAGGATCTCCTTCAGCCCGAAAGTTGGCTCATGGGCATCCCAGCTGGAGGTACCACCATCACACCAGCCCAAAATCATCCCTTCTGCCACAGGAGGAGCCTGCTCGGAGCTCCTGCATCACAGCAGCCCTGGAGCTGCACAGCTCCCGCCATGAGTCCATTTTATCCCAGGAATTGAAGGACTTTAGCAGCTCTTTTTGGGTGTTCTTGGTCCGGGTGGCTCTTTGGGTGACCTCCCAGCCCTGCATGTCTCTGTGAGGAAGGAGGAAGGGAGCAAAGTGGTGGGGGATGGACCATTTTTAATTGAGGATCATAAAAAAATAAGGAATAATAAATTTTAAAAGTTGTTGGGGTTTTATCAAAGCTCTCAGCCCCTCTCAAAGGCCTGGGCAGGAGATGGGTGAGTTCCTGAGCCCAGCCCCTCCAGCCTTTTTAGCACTTCAGGATGATCTTTCTTCAGCCCAGAAGGTCGACAACTCTGCTTGTTGTGAACTGAAACTCAACAAGAAAACCCCAAGAATTAGGTTTGGCTTATGAAATTTGGGGTTGGTTTTACCATTTTTAAATGTATTTGGGAACTGGACATGCCTAAGTTGCAAAACAAAAAGACAAAAAGAGCCAGACAGTGATTTTTTTTAATTTTGAAACTTGTCAAAACAAGCCAGATTGATCATTATGACCAATTTTTTTCCTTTTTTTTTCTTTTTTTGCAAATTGAGAAATGCATCCAGAACAGTCCTTTCCCACAAAACCTTTCATTTTCCAAAAAGAAAACGAGGCAAAAAAAAGAAAAAAATCAATCACACTTTTTCTGCTCCCAGAGTTGGAACGGGCAGCAGCGGATTGGGAGAGAATAGCAATTTGTAAGGAATTCCAACCAGCTATCCTTAAAATAGCATCCAGCCAGTTTCTCCAGGGCAGGAGGCTGGGTGGCTCCATGGTGGGAATGGGCTGGAGCAAATCCTGGCTGAGCAGGCCGGGATAACACCTTGGGAATGCAGGGACACCTTCCCCGTGGGGATCAGGGATGCTGATGCCGGGCCGGAATTCCTGGGGATCCCCAGCCATCCCTCTGAGGGAGGTTTGGTTTGGTTTTCTGTTCCAACCCAAACTGAATCCAGCTCTCCGAGCCTCCCCTTGGGACACAGCCTCAGGATGCCTTCAAAAGGGAGACGCTCCCATCTGAGCCCGGGGGTGGAAATTGGGAACAAATTCCATGTGCTGTTCCTTGAGGGATGTGGGAAGGGAGAGCAGGAGGAGAGCCCAGCCCCTCGTGCCCTTCTCCCTCTGGAGCGTGTCTGAGTTGGGGCTCCCTGCCTTGCGTGGGTGTCCCAGGGCCTTGGGGGCACCTCTGGGGACCTTGGGGGCACCTCTGGGGGCCTTGGGGGCACGTGTGGGCCCCGACCCCTGCGGTGCCCAGGCTGCTGCTGCCCGAACCCTTCTCAAGTGCTTGTGCCATGTGGGTGGTGACAGAGCTCGGCCCGACCCCAACGAGGTCCTTTAACAGTGCGTGGTGGTGAAACACAAACCAACATTGCTGAAGTCAAAGTATCCTTTCTAATCCCCCGGCCCGGTTTCTCTTTCTTTCCAGCTTTTCCTCCTCCGCCTCCTGGACCCTCCCTCTGTTCCCACCCCCCTTCTGTTTCTCTTTCTCCCTTCTGTCATAAGAAAGTGACTGTGTCCTCGAGGGGACAGTTTTCTTATGCCATTTTATACACTGTGCTTCATGTTTAGAACTTTTTTGCACTAGTTCCTATTACATTTATTTTCCAAACTGGTTTGACAAAAAACAAACAAAAAAACCCAACAAAAACACAATCCCATGCTATAATTCAGTTGTATTAAAATATTATCCTACTACTCTCTGTGTTCAATAGTCTCTGTACCTGTAATGCTTTCAGTTCTGTTGTATTTTGGGGCCGAGGTTTTCTCTGCTCCTTGTTTAACCCAGTAAAGAAATAAAATGTTAAGAATTGATGATAACTCCTCCTCCCTGTCTCTGCTGTGTCACTGGGGCCACCAGGGTCCCACAGGGACGGGCTCCCCCCAGAACCTGCTCTAAACCCCAGCCACTGCCCCATGGGGGTTGTTTTCCTGCCAAATCCAATCCCAACTGGAGGCCAGAGAGGCGGGCTGGAGGGACAATAACCCTGCCTTAACTGAATTTGATTTCGTAACCTTTCTTTATATTCTTTTGTTTCTTGCTTTCACATTTCTTGCCACGGGGCTCACCTCAGAACAATAGGGGCGAAGGCTGTCACCAAGAGATTCATCAGACAATAATGACTCAACCAGGGTATCCAAATTTTGCCCAGCTGAAGTCCACACCCACAAATAATCTGGAATTAATTCCTCTGGACAACAGAGCTCGGCATGGAACAGAGCGAGGACACCGCGCTCCAAATTGAGCGCTGTGTGCCAGGCTGGGAAAGGCCACGGGACAAAGCTCTGGAGTTGCACTGTGGCCATCTCCATCCCGAGCTGGAAACCCTCTGCTTGGAAAGAAAACCAGGAAAAGGGGAAGAAATTGCATGGGGATGGAAATAAATGGTTTTAAAAAAACAGATTGGTGCAGGGGGAAAAGGGGGGATGCACTAGTTGTCCTGGAGAACCAGGGCACAGAGGTGGGGGTGCAAGAGCGGGAATTTAGGGGGCTGGTGGGTCACAGTGAGAGGGGCTGGGGGTGACAATGAGGGGCCTGCACTTCCCCAGTGTGGGCAGCAGGAAGGGGGGTTCTGTCTCCCTGCCTTGCTCAGGTGAGACCACGCTCTAGAACCCCAAACTCAGAGCCTCAAACGCTGGAACCCCAAAATCAGAAGGACACAGAGCTGCTGGAATGAATCCAGAGGAGATCACAAGGGCTGGAGCCCCTCTGGGACCAGGCTGGGAGAGCTGGGGGTGTTCACCTGGAGAGGAGAAGGCTCTGGGGCAACCCCAGAGCCTCTTCCAGAACCTAAAGGAGCTCCAGAAGACGTGGAGAGGGAATGGAGAGACAGGACACAGGGAATGGCTTCCCACTGCCAGAGGGCAGGGTTAGATGGGATTGTGGGAAGCAATTCCTGGCTGTGAGGGTTGTGTGGCCCTGGCACAGGGAGCCCAGAGAGGATGGAAGAGGTGTTTGTCCCCTCAGACAGGAAAACACCTCCTGGAGCCTGTCCCCAGAAAGCCTCAGGTGATTCCCCGTTCCAGAGTGATTCCTCCTGGGGGTGCCCTAAACTGCCCCAATCTGAGAGCTCTGGGCCCCAGCTGGGCTTTAGGAACTGCATTAAAGGGTCCTGCAAGGGCCTGGGCTGGTGAACAGTGTTGGGATGCAGCATCAGTCTCTTCAGGAGGGTGTTTGGGATATTTTCCTTGGGAATGCTGCTTGCAAGATGTGTCCTGGCAATCCAGCTGCTCTCTCTCATTCTTCTGGGTGCTTGGGGAGCAGTGATGCCACTCCTGAGCTCCCAGGGAAGGGTTTTGGTGGCCACGTGGTGCCCAAACTGCTGCAGCAGCTGCAAATCCACCCAGGAACGTGCTGACTCCCAAGGATTTGATTAGCAGGGATTTGAGTTAAGTGGATGTGAATTTTCATGGCTATAGGGCTGTGCACATCAAAGCTGGGAGGCAGCGTGGGGCCGGGGAGAAGTTTCTCAGCTGTAAGTTTGCCTCGTGACTCCATAAAAATTGTGATGGGCAGCATGGAAAGAATTTTGCTGGAAAGAGCCTGGAAAATGCTGCACCCCCGAGAAAACAACACAAAGGACTGCAGACCCAAATCAAAGTCCAGGCCTGGGAATGTTTTGAGGTGTGAGATGGGACACTCCAGATGCTGAAGTCCTGGGTGGGGTCTGGGTTTTGAACCTCAGCCCTTCTTGGATGGGGATTAGGAATTCTTCTTTTATGTCTTTATTTATAGTTTAATAGATGGCACACCAGCTCCTGCTTTCTGGGTTATCAAAAAAGGAAAAGCATCCTTTTCAAATGCATGTTTCTGAACAATTTCAGACCTCCTGCATCTTCTCCATCCTCCCTGAGTTCTGAGAGGAGAACTTGGGCTTCATGGAAATCCAGAAACAGGGTTCTAAAACTGTGCTTGAGATCCTTGTTATCCAAACCAACACTTGACCATGAGAGATTAAAAACTCTGAAGAGAGGATTCCTCCTCTCAGGAATGCATTTTCAGGGTGTTTTCCACCTACCAGGAAACTCCAGGATGGTTTCAGACTTTTCCAAGTCTGGACATTCTGGATACATTCCAACTGGAGCTCCTGATGTTAGTGAGTTCTGCATTTATTTTTCTGGCATCAATCAGGTTTTTTTGGGTGTGTTTATGGCTTTTGTGACTTGACAATGTGATGCCACCTCAGCCAACTGATGAAAATCCTGGAGTGAGGAGTTGACGTTATTAATGATTGTCATTTTCCACATTTTTTGCCTGAAGGACTCCTTTGTTCTCTTCTTTTTGTCTCAAAATCTGTGTTAAGTAACAGCTTACAATTAATTTTTCATTCCAGCCCCCTTTGCCCCAGCAGAGCCTGGAGGGGCTGTGGAAGGTGGGTTTGTATGGATTTCCATGGATGCCGCGAGCCAGATGGGTTTCACTGGTAATTTCTCTTTCTCTTGTTCTGCTTTCCCTGGTTTCTCCTTTGGATCATGGCCTTGGATCTGTTTTGGTACCTGAGGAAGATCAAGGTTTCGCTGTTGTGTTTTCCCCAGTGAAAAATCCATGTTGTTATTAATTCAGCTTTAATTGCAGTGATGAGAAGCCCTTGATGGGCAGGAGAAAGGTTTTGCTGCCTCCACCTCCCCCTGGTTTCCTGCTTACCCTTCACACTCTCACAGTTTTACCTTTCCCAGGGCTCACAGCTCTGATCTCTGCTCTCTGTGACCAGGGACAGCACCCAGGGAATGGCTGGAGCTGTCAGGGCAGGTTCAGGTTGGATTTTAGGGGAAGGTTCTTCCCCCAGAGGGTGTCAGGCACTGGAAGGGCTCCCCAGGGAATGGACACAACCCCAAGGTTGCCACAGCTGAGTTTGGACAACCTCCCAGGCACAGGCTGGGATTGTTGGGGTGTCTGTGCAGGGCCAGGGCTTGGACTGGATGATCCTGTGGGTCCCTTCCAGCTCAGGAAATCCTGGGATTCTGTGACTCTTCTTCCTCCAGTCTCAGCATCCTCCTATCACCCTCTTCTCTCCCTCAGCTGTGTTGCTTGATCTTTTCTCCAAAACTCGTTGAGTTTGGGGGTTTTTTTAAAATAATTATCTAGGTTGGGATCTTTGGGCCATTCCTACCCTACTCTTGTTCCTTGCAGAATGGGTCCTGTCTCCCCTAAATCCCTTCCCTGGGCTCAGAGCCCAGCCCAGGTGAACAACCAGCCCCAGGTAAACCTTCAAGCACAGGCCTGGAGCAAAGCCTTCCTGCCAGGAGATCCCCTGGCATGTTTGCACTCATAAACTTGTCAGCATTTGGCTTTTTTTGTCCCTCTTGGGGGAAATTACTGCTGTTCCTCAGCCCATGTCAGCTCCCAGGCCGCGTTGGGATCGGTGCTAAAACCCCTGCTGTGGGTGAGGCTCCGGTGGGAGCTGTCACTACCTCGGGGTCAGGAAGCCAACGGGAACCTCTGTTCCATAAACTGTGAGTTTTTCATAAAAGCCTTTCTAATTTGTACCAAAGAGACTCCAGCACACCCTTGGGACTGGTAAAAATAATAATAGTTTGAGTGGTGGAAGACTGTGAATTTGAAACAGAAGGTTGTGAGATCCACGAGAATTACCCGAAACATCAACGTTGGACATCAATTAATGTAATTTAGATATACAATGAGATAGCAAAGATTCCCACAAAGAGCTGTCAGCTCTTACCTCTTCAGATCTCTTTGAGATAAAGCAGATGTTTCCATCCCATTGATCCAGAGGAATGGGCCCTTCCATCCCAGAGCGCGTTGCCTACGATCGCCCGGGAATTATTCCTCACCAAAATTACAGGGTTTGCTATTTTTCAATCATTTTTTTATTCATTCTGAGATGAAATGCACATGTTCCTATCAGCAGGTTTAGTTTAGGAATGCTGCGTTCCCAAAGCCAGGAGTCTTCTCATGGAGTAGAGGTGAAGGCAAATGGAGCTGGAGCTGTTCCCTCTGGAAAGGTCCCTCTGTAACACCCAATTTAATCTTTACTATTCCATCCCAAACAAATGGCCCTGCCCCTTCCCAAATCCCCTCAGCCAGGCTCACATGGAGTGCTTTATCCTGCCTTGATCTCACATGGGCTCCGCAGAGGAAATTGCTGCTTTAGGGCTGTGTTCTGGAGGATATTCTGTCTGAGCCTTGTGATCTTTCTCCTCACTTAAATCCACAAGTGCTGGCATGCTGGGAAGAACAAACACGTGGGGTTTTCCTTCCCTGGTTATTGCTGTCATCTCACATTAACAATCCCAAGGCTGGAAATCGCTGAAATCCCAGGTCACCTGGAAACTAAGCCCCGGATGTGGGGTCCTGTAGCTGGATCAGGGCCTGGCCATGAAGTTTCCAATCACTGTGAGCAGAAAAAGACACTTCCATATGTTCTCCTTATGACTGTTCCAGCTTTGATATGAATTCCTTGGATTTACCCTTTTTAAAGCCAGGGCTTCAGTTCTTAATGCTGGACTCGCCCTGCCCTACCCAAAGTGCTTGAAAGTTTGAGTTCAGGCCAGAAATGAGCTTTGGAAAAGGGTCTGGAGTGGCAGGAAAAGGGGGAATGGCTTCAACCTGACAGAGGGCAGAGTTAGATATGGTTTAGGGAAGAAATTGTCCCCTGGCACAGGGTGCCCAGAGAAGCTGTGGCTGCCCCTGGATCCCTGGAAATGCCCAAGGCCAGGTTGGATGGGGCTTGGAGCACCCTGGGCTGGTGGAAGCTGACCCTGCCTGTGACAGGGGGTGGGATGGGATCAGTTTTAAGGTCCCTTCCCTCCCAAACCATCCTGGGATTCTGTACTAGAACTGGAACTGTGGCCCTGCTCCATCTGCAAGGGATTTTAGTCACTTTACATTTGTCTCTCTTAATGCAGAAATTGGATCTTTAGGCTCAAATCATTATCCACAGAATTTACATCTCTAAAGAGAGAGAAGCAAAAGCCAAAGAAGCTGAAATGGGCACATGGGCCACAAACCTGTGGTAGGAGATTTCCAGGAGCTCTCCTGTCAGAATTCCCCCTGCCTGGAGAGGACACCAGTGGTGGCACTGAGGTTCCAGTTTCCTATGTCCACAACACAGTGGTAATCTCACATACTTCTGGCAGCGGGAAGCTGTTCCCTGTGTCCTGTCCCTCCATCCCTTATTCAAAGTCCCTTTCCAGCTCTCCTGGATCCCCTTTAGGCACTGGAAGGAGCTCTCAGTGTGGCAAAGCTGCTGCAAACCCTTGGGCTGTGACAGCAGTCATGGTTTGGGTGGGGAGGGCTCAGATTGAGGGATTTCCCACCTGGACAGGGCTCTGTGGTGTGGAACCTTTTCCCCAAGGAGCCCCGAATCCAGAGCTGAGCTCCTGGGCAAACAGGCCTGGCAAAGCACAGAATCCATGAGGTTGGAAAAGACCTCAGAGATCACAGAGTCCATCCTAGGGCCCAGCAATACCATGGCACCAGGAAGGCTGGAGAAATCCTTGCCAAGGGGCAGAGAAAGAATCCCATCCCCCTCGCTGTGGTCGGGCTCAGCGTTACGGGTGCAGCTCCCTCCTTTCCCTTCTCCTCCTTTCCCTGCCTTTTGGTGAGGGGCAGAGCGGGCTCTGGGCTCCCTGGCAGAGCATCTCCCATGGATCACGTCTGCTCCTCCAGGCACAGATCGTATCCTCTTTCCCTGGCACCAGCACAGCCCCAGAGTGGCACCCCCAGGACAATGCCTTGGCCGGCTCTGGCGCTGACCCGGGCTGTGGGGATGGGGGTGAGGGGGCCAGGAGGCACCGGGGAGGTTGAATAACGTGGTGTGGAATATCACTGTTCCAGCCAGGATGAGTAAGAGCACAGCTGAGCCTGGTCACCGACGGCACTGCCACCATTCCGGGGGAGGCAGGGGCTCGGCGACGGCTGCACAGTTGAAAATCGAGACAATGAGTCTATAAAAGTTTAAGAACTGAATAGATCCCGGACATTTGGTTCTCATTATCACCAAATAACATATAAATAAACATACAACAGAACCAAGAGCAGCATCTTCCTCACCCCCTCTGCAAGAAGTTGTGTTTAGGCTGCAGTCGGCCTGCTTGGCCAAACCTCCTCCTGTGTGCTCTGGGATGGAATTGTGGGGCTGCCAGGCTTCATCTTCCTTCAAAACACAGCAAAGCCTGATCCAGGCAGGAAAATGAGGTGTCAATGTGCTGCTGCTCCTTAAAAGTCAGCAGTGCAGGGGGAAATGTGAAAATAAACCCAGCAAGGACAATATAGCTGTTTTAGTTTTTCTCTTGTTGTAAAAGCCCATCCCATCCCCTGCCATGGGCAGGGACACCTTCCTCTATCCCAGGCTGTTCCAAGCTCCCTCCATCCTGGCCTTGGGCACTTCCAGGGATGGAGCAGCCACAGCTGCTCTGGGCAACTCAGTGTTTATTGTGAGAATTCATGGGGGAAGATGAAAAGGAGACATCAATGATCAGAGACACTGCAATGCCATGAGAGGGAAAATCTTGGAAGAGTCCCTGGCAGAGCTAGGAAAAAAGGCATGAATGTGATTCCTTAGTACATCTTGCTCTTCTAAGATGAACAGATTGCTCAATCCCTGCCCCTATGGAAGCAGTTGGACACAATTATCTTTCCTGCATGGACAGAGCTCACAGTTACTGGAAAAAAACATTCTTAAGCAAAGCAGATTGGATGGAACATCTTAGATCTCACTGAGGAAAAGGAATTGGGACTGCAGTGCTGGATGGAGGCTCCATAAAATCAAGATTCTCCTTCCTAAGGGCTTGTAAACACCAATGGATGTGCAGTTGGAGCGCCAGGATTTCAGGTTTTAGGAGACTTTATTGTACTCTTGTTGTTGAGAACATCACTGAGAGAGCAAGGGATGGGTTTCCTCAAAAGAAAGTCAGGAATTCCAAAGCTTTTAGGTCACACATGTTAAACTGAGTCTGCAGCCTGCTGCAGGAATTGCAGCTGCTGCCAAAATGTAAATGGGAAATGGGCTCAAAGCTGCTTTACATCACTCAGAGATTCCCTGATCTGTGGAATTCACATGGAGAGGGGCACTCAGACCTGCCACCTGTGCTCTGCAGAGCTGTACCCCTTCCAAAGGGAGGGAAGGGAGAGCTCCTAAGCTGCAGCATCTTCCTCCCACCTGTGGTTAAATCCTGCTGGGATAGGAAGGCAATGCTGGAAAAACCCCAGCAAGTTTGGGAATTAAGAGAAAAAGTCATTCCAGACACGTACCCTGCATGTTCTCCTCCTCTCAGCCTCTGCCCACCCTCCCCAGGACCCTCTCCACTGCTCTTTAATTTCCCATCCAGAGCATCAGGGATCCCTGTCCCTTCTGCAGCCTCCCCACCCTCTGGCTCCTGCTTCTCCTGGGCCAGGACTCTTGGAGGATAGGCAGGACACAAAAAACAACTTAAACCTGTGGGGTTCTTCATCCATGCAATGAAGTTTTTCAGGGATGGCAGAGGAAGAGGAGGGAATGCTCAGAACAAGGGGAATTTAAGTCCTGGAGAAATTGGAACCATGGGCAGTGGGGCTCAACTTGTCCGGGTGTGAGGATCCCACTTATCAATTATGTTTTAATTCCATCATTACATGGGATTCCTTTTTAATTAGTGGGGTGCTGGTCAGCTCTAGGAGGCAGAAATCCCTCAGTGTGAGGATTTGGCCTAAATCCCTGATGAGATCAAGGCAGGAATGGAGAGCTCACATCTTCCCCCTGACCCAGCCCCTGGCTGACCTGACCTCTCAAATTCACCTTCAAAGTGACCTAAATGACTCTGGAAAAGGGGATGAGGCTGCTGCAAGTGTGGGTAGGTCCATGTAGGATTGGGGTTGGGATTTTCATCTTGGAAAACAGGATTTTGGTGGTGCAGGAGTTGGTCTTGATGATCCTTGAGGCTCCCTTCCAGCTCAGGGTATTCTGTCATTCTATGAAAACCAGTAACAACACCAAGCACTCAAATAATTATAAATGTTCCTGAAATAATTACAGGGCTTTGAACAGAGGGTTCATTTGTGTTTATTTGCTTTTTGCTCCTCAGTTGTTGAGGTTGGCAGCCCTTGATGCTTCCAGTTTTGCTCTTCCCAAATATTAGGGAAACATTTCTTTCTTAAATGAAAACAGAGACTCTCATGGAATGTTTATGACACAGGACTTATAGGAAAAAAAAAGCCCTACTGCAGGAAAACAAGGCCAGGAAGGGCTGGAAAAGGTCATCCTCCTCCCCAAAGGCAGGACAAGGCCACCGTGGGTTTCTTTCTGGCTGGGATCTGTGGCATGAAGACCCCACAAACTCTCAGACGTTGTGTCCCAGGGCTTGCAAGGGTTTCTCATGGAAGGGACAGCCTGGTGGGAAACTCACCCTGCCCCCAGGTCTGGCAGCACAGACCTGGCAAGGACCACCCAGCTCTGGGAGCCCACCCAGGGGGGCTCACAGGACCCAGCCCAGGGATGTGCTGGTGACAGTCCCCAGTGCTGGCCCTTCCTGGGGATCTGGAGATGGCTCTGGCATCTCCCAGCAGCGACAGTTCCTGGTGCTGGCCCTTCCTGGCGACAGCTCTGACATCTCCCAGTGCTGCTGACCAACTCTGCTTCATGTGATCCTCTAAAACCAGCTGGAACCCTCCTCTGCAGTGCCACCTCCTCTGCGGCCATGAACACCTCGTATTTAATCCCTCGTTTCCTTTTACTTTCCCAAATCACATCCTATTCTCTTCAGGCCCCCTCTCGAGTTTGTTCGGAACATCTCTAATTTCTCAATTCGAATTTCCTGGCAGCCTGTGAGCATCACACAGCACCTTAATCATGTCATTATCCCTCTCGTTATCAATTAAACCCCCTGATTGAAAATAGAGCCAGCACAGGCTTTGCCAACTCCTTTTGGTCAGCTTTAAGGTCCTTCCAAACTGAACCAGGTGTGATTTGATACCATGCTTCCCTTCCAAATCCACGCCTCTCCCCGGTTCACTCTTTCCCAGGCTGTTTTCCAGCTTCCATTACTTTCCAGCAGTGCCAATCAACCTTTAAAAAGCTGGAGAACACTCGCACAGCCCTGGACACCCAGTGCTCGGCCGTGTCCCCCGGCAGAGCGGTGACAACGCCGTCCCTGCCCGGGGATCGGTGGCGTTTGGTGCCTGCTCCCAGGAATGCTCCGCCGGCTGCGGGCACCGGGCCGGGATCGGCTCCATCCGTACCGGAACTGGGACAGGGATGGGGATGTCGGCCGGGACTGGGACTGGGATCGGGACCGGGATTGGGACTGGGATGGGAAGCGCGACTAAACCGCACTGGGCGCGGGCCCACCTCTCACCGCACCTGTCCGTTCCGGGACAGGGATAGAAATTAGGGATAAGGGATAGAAATTAGGGATAAGGGGTAGGGATGGGGATAAGGGATCGGGACGGCAGCGGGGCGCGGTTCCAGCCCATTCTGACCCCGCCCTCTAATTTGCATAACCCGGCCCCACTGCATCGCCGCAGCTGCTCAGGCTCCGCCCCTGCGCTGCCCAGGCCCCGCCCCCCGGCCGGACGCTGAGGCGGTGCTGCCGCGGCCTAGCCCCGCCCCTCCCCGCCCCGCCGGCGGCCCGGCCCCGCCTCCCGGGGTGGCCCCGCCCCCTGGCGGGGCGCTGGCGGCCCGGCCGCGCAGCCCGCGGTGCCCGGCGCGCCCCGGGAGCAGCAGCGCTGGGGCCGCTCCGCGCCGCTCCGCCCGAGCGCACCATGGGCGCGGAGCGCAGGGCGGCGGCGCCGGCTCCCCGCGGCTGCGCCTGCGGCGGCGGCGGCAGCTGGCGGCTCTTCCTCGGTTTCTTCGCGCTGTCGCTGGCGCTGCACGTCCTGACCCTGGGCTGTTACCTGGAGCTGCGCTCCGAGCTCCGCCGCGACCGCGGCCCGCAGCCCGCGGCCCCGCCGCGCCGGGACGGGACGGCGGCAGCGCCCGGAGCCCCGGCCGGGGGCCGCCCGCAGCGCGCGGCCGAGGGCGCGGAGCGGCGCCAGCAGGTGGGTCCGGCCGGGGGCGGGGGGACCGCGGGGGCTCCGCGCTGCTCGGGGCCATCTCCCGGCTCCATCCCCGCGCTCGGGGGCCGCGCCCCGGGGCGCTTCGGAGCGGCCCCTCGAGGGAGTTTGGTGGAAAAAGGGGGGAAAGCCCCAAGTCGCTGTGCGGGGGTGAAGTGCGGGGGAAGCACGTCTGGGCTGGGGGTGACGGGCTGCGGGGCCGCCTGTGTTCCACCTGCTGCTCGCGGTTTCCCTGTCGCGACAGACCCGCCGTGTGTCCCGACAGCGCAGACTTGGCCGGGGGCAGCGGCTCTGCCCCAGCCTTTGCGGGGTGCCCCCAGTCGCGGGGTGCTGCTGCCGGGGAGCCCCGCACGGTTCGGCCCCGCACACAGTGCGCGCTGGGTCCCGGTCCTGCACGGCCTCCGCTCGCTCCTCTCCTTCCTCCTGCGCTGTGTTCCTGGTTGCGCTCCTCTCCCAGCCCAGGTGCATCATCCTTTGGGTGATGCCCCCCGCAGCAGCTGCTCAGCCTGTGCAGGACAGGTGGGCAGCAGCCTCCCGGTTGTCCCCGCCGCTGTCCCCAGCCCTGGGGGGGGGTCGCCTGTCCCGGGAGCTTCTGGGAGAGCCGGAGCGGAGCTGGGGCCTCCGCTCGCAAACTTAGCTCATTTTTTCCAGGCACGAAACCTCGCTGCGAGCAGGATAAGCTGGAGGAAGGAGTTTCCTCCCCTCCGAGCCTCCGGAGCGGATGGCCCGCTCCCCCAAGGTGCCGGGTGGCTTTGTCGCGGAGTCGCAGCGGGGTTTCGGGGGAGATGCCAAGCCCTGCCTCGGCACCCCGGCGGTCCTCGCCTTGTTGCTTATCAGTGCGTGGGGGGAAGGACAAAAATAGCTTTGATAAAGCGGCGAGTTTGGAACTCTTCCTCCCACTTGGCAGCGGGAGCCGTTCCGCCGCGCCGGCCTCGGCTGCCCCCGGGAGAGCCGGGTTTGCGCTTCCTTCGCTGCCCGGGTCCCGCAGCTTCCCATAATAAATCCGAGCCCAGCGTTGGAGCGGAGGGAAGCCGAGCTCCCGGGTCATCGCTCTGCCCTCGCTGCCTCTCCAGCAGTGTCAACACAGAGCGAGCCCGAGCGGTTTGATGTCGTGCTGGGATTCCTGGGTTGCCTTGGAATAGCGCGCGGCTGGAGTGCTTTTCGTGTTATCGTGCTGGATCTGTTTAGTCTTTCGAGCTCTTCTTTCCAGCGAGCGTATAATGAAATACCAGGGCAAATACTTGAGGCATTCATAAATTACAGCGTTAGATAATTTGTCTCTGGATGCGGACGGAGCTCCGAGCGTCGCTCGCTGCAGCTGACGGACTCCAGATAAGGTAACGCTAATTATTTATTTCTTTATTCTACATCTGGCCTGTCAGGCTTGAGATGAAATACTCTTTAGAGCACATTGAAGCAGTTGGGTTGGAGAGAAGGGTTGCTGGTAGTAGGGACATGGGGAAGGAACGCTGAGTGTCCCGAGCTGCTCCGGTTGGGAACGGCTGCTGTGACAATGTGTGATTAATGGGATTTGTAGTGGTGCTGCTCACCCGTTTTTTGCTGATTTTTCTGCCTTGCAGCTAAAAACAAGCACTTTGGGCGTCCTGGGGTGCTGTGAGTGCATCCCTTCCGTTATTAAAGCAGTGAAATGAGGGATTGCAAACAGCTTTATTTAGAAAGTTATTGTCCAGCTTTGGGGTACATGTCGGGCTCCCAGCAGCCCTTCCAAGCTGTGCTGCTGATAAACTCAAACTGTGATCCCATACATGTGATGCTTGCATAAATTGGGCTGAAATTACTAAATAATTAATTCAAGCGATGTGATCAATGACATTTCTCTCCTGAGGACCATGGTCAGAGTTCATTAGAGGGGGACCAGTGACCACAGTGCTGTGAGCCCTCAAATGTCCTTCAGCTGCTGAGGTCTCTCAGTGAAGAGGCCAAGTGCCATGTGTGTTGTGATTGTACAATCTCATTTAAACCCAAAAGTTATTCCCCTTCCTGACCCTTTTTTATGTATTTTTAAGTTATTTTATTCCCCCTCCCCTTCCTGACCTGAGGCAGGAGGAAGAGGAGCGTGGGGGGAAGGATGGGGAACGATGGTCAGCGCCGAGATTTTGGCCCAAACCTCACCTGGCCCCGTGCCAGAAATGACCTCATGACAGGAGTGAGATTTGGCAGCTCGATAACGCCCCGCTTCCCTATCTCACAGGGTATCCAAATATGTAACTCATTTGGGATGGAAGGGCAGATTTTCATGGCAGAGGTTGAGGCATTGTAGTTCCACATCTTTGTCCCAGAACCCGCCGGGTGTTGCATCACCACGCTGGCTGCGAGATGAGGAGTTTGTTAGAGCTGCTTTAATTCATTGACTCTTCAGTGGCTCAGAGGTGTGAGAGAGGGTTTGGGGAGTGGTGGAGCCTTGGCTCCACCAATAAAATGCAAATAATCCCTCTGGATGGGTGTGCTGTGGGATGGGAGAGGGATTCTGTCAGGCAGGCTCTGCTCATGGAGATCCACATCAGGGCACTGTGTCCCTTTGGAGGATTTTGTGCCTAAATGAAATCGTATTTTGCTGTCAAAAAATCATCCTTGCAATATTTGAGTTGTGCAGAGCATCATTCTCATGCTTTTTCTCCAACCAAATCCCCGTCCTGCCACATTTCTGCCAAAACTTGTTCTTTGGCCAATGGTGGGTGAAATGTGTGCCCTGAAAGTGTCCCAAGATGGAGATAAAAACTTCCAAAGCCTGGGAATGGGATCAAAAGCCATCGGTTTTGTCAAACTAATTGTAGAGGCGCTTGCAGCTAGTGGGGGGAGGGAGGGGAGGTGCTGAGTCATCCAAAAAAATGTGCTGAGCAGCAATTTGCTGACTGGCATTTCACCTTCCCGGTGCCGAGGTGTCTGATCTCAGTCTCCACTTCTCACCTTTTTAACAAGGGATGTTCCCACTTTGGAGCAGTGCCCACATCGGTGTTCCTGATCCTTGCTTTCATGGAGTAGTTTGAGCTGGAAGGGACCTTAATGCTCATTTAGTGCCACCCCAGCCATGGGCAGGGACACCTTCCACTATCCCAGGCTGCCCCAAGCCCTGTCCAGCCTGGCCTTGGACACTTCCAGAGATCCAGGGGCAGCCGCAGCTTCTCACAGGGCCTCTCCACCCTCACAGGGAAGAATTCCTTCCTTTCTTTTCCCTCACCATGTGAAATTGCAGTTATTTTTCCCCTTTTCTTGTTGATTCTGGCTCTAGAGTAAGAGGCAGGTGTTGATGTGATTGGCACAAAGGCTCTAAAGGTGTGGAAGCTGCTCCAGAGGCTTCTCCCTCCGTGAGCATACCTGTGGCTCATCCATGCATCTTCATCCCTGTTTCTGCCTCCTGCATCCCAGCTGAAACCTGCCCAATGTGCTGAAAGCTTTGAGCAGAGCTCCTGTTGGAAATGCTTCTCCAGTCTCCTCTGGCAGCAGCCTTAACACGGCTCCTGTGGGCTCTGACCTTTCAGGGCCTGTGTGTTGGGATTTCATGGCTCTGCTCCCAGGTTAGTGACAGGCTGGGTGTGTGCAGAGGGAAGATGCTGATTAGGGATGTGCCCTCACAGTGGGTTTTCCCTCAAATTCCACTTTGTGGTGCTGCTTGCAGCTCAAAGAAGCTCTCAGAGGGCAATCAAGGGAGCCTGCAGAGCTCTGTGGCAAATGTCAGGCTCTGGTTACCTTCATTCACAACTCGAATTCTCTATCCCTGCTGCTGTGCCTGTGAATATTCCATGCACAATCTGGCCTGAATCCAGAACTGCTCCTGTTGAGATGCTGCAGAGTGGCAGAAGCCTGGCAGTGCCTGTGGGATGTGTTGCTTGCTTTGGGAAATTAAATACAGTGTGAGCTTTCCCCAAGGGCTGGAGGTGCATCCCTGCAGGTGCTGTGGGGTGAATTCCTGTGTGAAGAGAAACCTTTGGCTGGGTGGGAACAGCCTGGCTGGTCCTTGGGAACTGTGGAGTCACAGAGGGGTTTGGGATGGAAGGAACCTCTCAAGGCCATCGAGTCCAATCTCTCTGCCCCAGGCAGGGACACCTTCTACTCCATCAGGACCTTCCCAAAGTTCTTATTCCCAGATTTATGGTGCTGCAAGGGTTTCCTTCTGCCCTCCCTAGCGTCCCCCACTGCTGATCTGGGTTTTCATTTTCTATTTTCTGCTCATTCCATGAAGGAGAAAATCTGTGGCTTTGTGTGAGGACCAGGATGTTTTATCAGCATTAACTGAGTTCCTTGATGGAGAATATTGTTGCCAGAGTAAGTGTTTGACTGACCCGTGACCAAATTGCAGGGTTTTTCCATAATTTTTTGATGAGTTCCCTGGCAAATCCTTGAACTTGGGGTTTTAACAACATTCAGTGGCATTCCAAAGTTATCTTCCCCTTAACCCCAGAGTAAATAGTGCCATATCAACCCCATATTATTTTAACCTTTTAACATTATTTTTCTTACCACATAATAACATAAATCTTCCCTGCTCTCCCATACACATGTAGTGTCTTGTAATGCTAATTAAACTGCACACCAGCCTAATTTTGCTCTCAGACTAATCCAATATATTTTTCTTGACTGGAAGCCAAACCCTGAGAGCTTCAGAGCATGCGGAGCTCTCATTCCACTCTTATTATATGTTAATGGCTTTATGTTTTAATATCTTTCAACACTTGGGGAGGATGTTATTTTTAGAGGTGTCTGGCTGCAGAAGGTACGGGTCTGTGAGGGGTTTGGGGGATGTGAAGCCCTGAGTAAACTCCGTGCAGTAAGTGGGAAGCATGTCCCTGAAGAGGAGTAATCTGTCAGGATCCATTGTGCACAAGCAGGGAATCCCAGGGAGGTTTGATGTGATTTTTACCGTGGTGTAGTGGGAGATTTGGCTGCAGTTTTACCGTGGTTAAGTGGGAGATTTGGCTGCAATTTGAACGTGGCTAAATGCCTTTATGGGGCGGTTTCAGTGCTCT